TGCAGCTGCTTTTTCGCTGCTGAGCTCATTAGCGAAGGAATGAACGATTACTCGAAACACATAGTGTTTAGAGAGGAGAGACCAAACTCTGAAGGAGAGAAAGGCCTCCTCAGCTAAGTTCTCCCTGTGTTTGTTTCCAAGGACACGTGCAAAGGGTCAGGGCCGTCTGCTAATTTCTTTAACAACTTCCATATAGGTCAGCTGTTTTCAGCTGCCCTTTGCACACAGCAAACAAGTAACTCAGGGCAGGGGCTTTTTACCTGACCCTTCATTCACCTTGCTCACGTTCTTTCCATCCATCCATCTATCCATCCATCCTTTCTTTCCAGGCCCAGCCCCTACAGATTTCAACCTGGACTCAGCCACGTACAGCAGTGTGATGGTGGCCAAATTATTTCACTTCTCTGAATCTTCATTTCCATCTACAGAATAGGCATACTACCTAATTCACAGGGCAATTTTGAGGATCAATGAGATAGTATATGTTATGTCTTTGGCACACAGTAGGAACACAGTAACACGAACACCCTTCTCCACCCCCTCCCCAGCTTTTGCATTTTACCCATAACTCTGGAGGTACTTGTTACCCATACTCCTACTAACCTCACAAGGTTGGGCTCAAATGGAATTGAGAGAATTTATTGTAGCTTACTGTGTGCTAGGCTCTGCGCTGTACAATTTGCTTTCATAATCTCATTTATTTTGCCCAAACAACTCTTTGAGGTAGGTACTGCTATTACCCCATATTACAGATGAGGACATTAAGGATCACAGAGGATAAGTAACTTGCCATCTGTAATATAGGGTGGCAGAGGTAGGATTTGAACCCATGCTGTAGATTCTAGAACTACGCTCTAGAGCAATGCTGTTCAAGAGTGGTCTGGTACTGCTCTATGGCGAGAGAAGAACAGAAGTTGAGGGTAAGCACTTAGAAGCTTTATAGCAGCTGGGCATCGCCACAACATTCAAGCTCATGGTCCATGGCCTTGTTTCACTGAGCAGAGCATAGACCAGTTTCAGTGATGTACAGATCTCAGTTAGTTGCTTGTGGTGGAAGCTGTTTTCTAGCCATGCACAGTAGGACCACCGAATTGTCCATGCCTCAGGGAAAATGACGAACCTGGCCTTCATCACTGATAGTTTGAGAAGCACTGCGGATGCTGTCATTAACGAAAGTGATGCCTTGTTTACACAGCTGTGTGAGGCCTGGGGGCAGGGTCTGTGTATTGCCCGTGGCATTGTTTGTACACAGGACATACTAGGTACTAGTATGCTCTGTATGAATGCATGGATGGATGGATGAATTTATATTTCTGCTGTGACTGGGCAATTTCCTGGAGATCTTGGGCAAAGCCATGAATTAGGTAAAATTTCTCTTTAGTCTTTTCCTGCCTGCACTTCTAGGTCCTCTCTCCTACCACTCCTCCCCCCCCCTTTTTTTTTTTTGCCTCTGCCCAAGCTTTAAAGTGCCTCCAGGGTGCTCTCCTGGCTCCCCCAAACCCCACACACCCTTCTTTCCCTGAGAGTGGTACCCTACTCTGAGACTCCCACTGCCGCCTTCCCCAGCAGCTTCCCAGTTCTGAGTCTCTTCCAGGGGAAGCTTCTCCAGCTGGCCGTGCCCAGAGAGCAGGGCTCAACCCCGACTGAGCTTATGCAAGTGGGGCTGGTCTCTGCTGGTTCTGATAAAATCAGCAAAGGTTTCTAAAAATGCTATACTTAATGCTGGTGTTTGAAGGCTGTGAGACCAGCATTGTCATACACAGCTGGTGGGGACATCGTGTACATTTCTAGACATTGGTTTTGTGATATGTATCAAGAATGTTAAAAATGTATGCTCTTTAACCTAAAATTATACTTTAGACATATAATTGAAATAATCAGAGATGTGGAAAAATGTTTATGTACAGAGATATTTATCATAGCTTTATTTATACAATGAAAAAGGAAATACCGCCTAAATAACAATGACTTAAAGACATTATGACACAGTCATGATGAAATTTTATGCAGTCATTAAAACTGTGATTGATTTTGAGTTCTTTTTAATCTGATAAGATGCTTATTACCCATGATAAGTGAAAAAAGGCAGGGTTCACATTTTTTAAGTAGAATTTAATAAAAATTATGTGCATATAAAAATACTGCTCATCTGTCTGAGTGATAGGATGGTGGTTTTATCCTTTTGGGTATTTTCTATAATAAGCACAAATTTATTCTTATGGTCAGAAAAATCAAGTATTTTGTGAAGTCTCTAGACGCTCCAATGGGGTTGCTGCTGGGACTGGTGCCCCTGTGTTTGCCAGGAGCCAGCCTTGAAATATATAGCTCTGTTGACCTGTATTCTGGTCCTGGCTTTGCCACTAACTGGCTGCAGGACCTTGGATAAGTCATTTTATTTCTCTGGGCCTTGGGAGTCCTTGTTTATAAAAAAAAAAATTGTCTGGATCGGATGCTCTTTAGGGGTTAGATTCTGATTCTGTGATTCTGATAAACTCATTGAATTAGTGATTCATTGTGCATAAGGCTCCATGATTTACCCTGCTCTATTGTTTGTATCCTAAACAAACAAGGTATTCTTATCCAAAGCTAAAGGAATGACTTTCTAACAGTGGAATTTCACATAGGGCTATGAATAACTTACACCCAAACACTGGTCTAATAGCTTTCTAAGGTTCATATACTTTAGGCATTACCTGGCCCTTCATGACAAAAAGGGGGTAGGGCTGACAGGGTCAGCCTCCAGCCCTAAGGGAGGAGAGGTGTCTGTCTGGAAGAGCAAGGCAAGTTCCTGGATCTGGAGATTCCTTCCCTTCCCTGCCTCCTCCCCCCAATCTCAGCTGTTCATTGCTGTCTGCTTCCTTATGTCTCCATCCTCTTCTCTGTGTTTGAGTTGGGCTTATGTCATTGTGTTTCCCTGGTGGGCTGGTGGCTCAGTCACCACAGCCTGGGGAAGGAGGCAGTGTGACTCATGTCCCAGGTCCAGTGAGTCAGCTAGGGAGGGCTGGACCAGGGGCTTCCCCAGGATAGGAAGCAGGTTCTAGGTGTGCCTTAGCTGTCTCCTAGTAGGGATACCACCAGGAGAGAGGACCAACCTTTCTCCCTTTCCCATTTCTGTGTACTCATTCACGAACTCCTCTTGCCTAAGCAATGCCACCTCTTCTAAGCCCCAGAGAGTTGTGGCTAGGTAGAGCCAAGATAGCCTCTGTGAGGAAGGAAATGGACAGACCATAGTGGGAACCAAAGAGGATTAGAACTTTCCAGCCCAACCTCCTAGGTCCTGGGTTTGAGGCTAGCCAGGTTTCAGAGCTGGGACAACTCCTTGAGAAGCAATTATATTTGCAATGCCCTGGAGCTGCGAGTTATTTAACTGCTTGGAGTTTCAGTTTCCTAGGCTAGAAAAATGAGATAGTAAACTCACCTCATGGAGTTGCTGTGCATTAAATAAAACCTGGCACCTACCTACACTTGGCATGAGAAGGTGCCGAGTCAATGTTCATTCTGAAAGTGAATGGAAACCCCATTGCTTTTGGACTTGCTGGGAGGTCTGAATGCCAGTTGGTGCAGAAGGCTACAGTGGGCCATTACCTGGCAAACCCCTGCCAGGTTTCCTTGGGGTGAGAGGTGGGGGTAGCGGATGTATGTCTGTTACTGCAGGGGCAGCAGTGTGGCCTGAGTCCCACTGCTGGGGGCACCTAGGGTGGTTTGGGAGTGGGCTTCATTCAGGCTGGTTCTGAAAGGCACTCCTGGACTTGCATAACTTGGGGCAACTTCTTCCTCTCTAGAGCCTTCTCTTCCCTTCTAGGCCTCTGAAGGCCAATCCCCTGCCTGGTGAAGAGTCCTGACTGGACCCTTCACCCTGGAGTGCAAATAAGGAATGTGTGACCGTGTCCTAAGGATTCCTAGACAGAATCAGTATTACTGTAGTGATGTTTCCTTTTGTTTCAGGCTCCAGTGTGGCCTGGTAAGGTGCAGTTGTGATCCTGTCTTTATTTAAAATGTTAATGTAGACCTAGCGAGGTGGCTCAAGCCTGTAATCCTAGCACTCTGGGAGGCAGAGGAGGGCAGATGGCTCAAGGTCAGGAGTTTGAAACCAGCCTGAGCAAGAGCGAGACCCCGTCTCTACTATAAATAGAAAGAAATTAATTAGCCAACTAGTATAATAGAAAAAAATTAGCTGGGCATGGTGGCACATTCCTGTAGTCCCAGCTACTCTGGAGGCTGAGCCAGAAGGGTTGCTTGAGCCCAGGAGTTTGAGGTTGCTGTGAGCTAGGCTGCCACCATGGCACTCACTCTAGCCAGGGCAACAAAGCGAGACTCTGTCTCAAAAAATAAATAAATAAATAAATAAAATGTTGATGTTTTGTTCATCATACATATTCTGGCATTCATTTTGATTTTTAAAAAATATTGCATTAAAATATTGTTTATCTAGATTACTGAGTTCCTGTCACCTCCTTAAATTTTGTGCCTAATGATGGAATTTTTGGCTCTATATTTTTTGAGGGGGTATACTTCTGGGACAGAGGGCCCTGCAGACTGTGCCTGCCTCCTTATACCCGTGACATTCCCCTTAACGGGAACTTTTCTGTGTCCCCATCAGAGGCCAGGATAAAGTTCCCAGTCCAGCTACACCCCATCCACTCTCCCACCCCCATTTCCATGGAGCTCAGGGGCAGCTCCAAATCCTCGGAATGTTTTCAGTTGCGTTTCATTTGGTAAGCATCAATCGAGGGAATATGCTAAGTGCCAGGCAAGCACCTGGCTCAGGCTGGGGGCGGAGGAAGCTGGGCAGAGACTGGACCGGGAAGGGGCGCAGGGTGGCCCTGGACGGAGCTTGCTGCCCAGTCGGAGGGAGCAGGGCGGGGTCGGCAGACTCTGTACCCTGAGGACTATCACGGGCCCCCGAGCACCTTCAGGTGGAAACGTCACTTCAGAAGTCCAGACCTGGGCTGACTTCCTACCCGGGAGGCCCCGAAGCCTTGGGCTCTGGACACGCGCCAGGGAGGCGTCGGAGCCGCTTCCTGGGCGCCGTGGGCGCGGGCGGCGCGGGCGCGGAGGAGCGCGGGGAGCGGGGACGGCGCACCTGGGGCGGCCGGGCGCGGGCGACATGGAGGACGGCGTGCTCAAGGAGGGCTTCCTCGTCAAGAGGGTGAGTGCGCCGGGGCGCGGGACATTGCCCCGGGCGGGGACGCGCCGCCGCGTCTCGCTGGAGCCCGGCTGGACGCGCGCCCTGCAGCCCGGGCCGATGGCGGGAGTGGGCTGCCCGGGGCCCTGCCGGCCGGAGCTGCGTGTCCGTGGGGACAGCGGGGTGGACAGCGGCTGGACACTGGAACCGAGCGGGAGGGAAGCGACAGGAAAGAGGGGCCTCGGCACAGGCAAGGAGGAGAATCCCGCTCCATTAGTGCGGTTTGGGGCCCGGGGCGGGTGCCGAAGTGGATGTCTCAATTAAAACAACTTATTAAAATATGACTAGTATGTGTTTACATAGAATTTATTAAAATAACACAGGTGTGCGAGGAAGGAGGACAGCTGCGCTCTTTAAGCACTTATTGTTTTCCAGTCCTGGACATGGTCTCATTTAATCCTCCCTACAGTACTGGGGTCAGCAGTACCACATTACCCGCCTTTCACCAAGAGGGAAAACACAGCTCGCAGAGGTTAAGTAACCTGCTCAGGGTCGCCCAGGGTGGTGGAGCCGGGATCACACCCACTCTGGTTGACCCAAACCTCTTCCTGCCTACCCGGTCACGGTGGATAGTTATCACTCTGCTACAGATGGGGAAACAGGATCAGATGACGAAGCTTGCTCAGAGCTCCAGAGCTAGTCGTAGTTGGAACTAGAACTCCATGTTCTGACCCCCATCCTCAGCGGTGCCCCCACTTGGCCAAGGACCCACGGTAAACAAGATTCCAAACAAAAATAGGATGCCTGGGATCTGGGTAGAAAGTGGACGAGAAAGCAGCTGCAAGAGGAAGTTTGATACTTAAAAATTGTTATTATTTTTAAATTTTTTTTATGAGACAGAGTCTCACTCTCTTGCCCGGGCTAGAGTGCCCTGGTATCAGCCTAGCTCACAGCAACCTCAAACTAAACTCCTGGACTCAAGTGATCCTCCTGCCTCAGCCTCCCGAGTAGCTTGGGACTATAGGCACATGCCACCATGGCTGTCTAATTTTTTCTATTTTTAATAGAGACATGGGGTCTCACTCTTGCTAAGGCTGGTCTCGAACTCCTGAGCTCAAGCAATCCTCCCTCCTTGGCCTCCCAGAGTAAAAATTATTTTTAATTTTAGTATTGATGTGAACACTAAACATTTATGCTAACGTAATAGCATAAAGTACAGATATATACCTCTGGGGCTGAGGCTTTTGGCTCTTTTGCTGAGTTTACAGCTTTGGGAGGAAGATAGTGAGGGATGAAGGGGCTGTCCCACACACTGCCTCTCCTGGTGGCCTTCCCTGGTGGCCAGAAGAGCACTATCTGCCCTGAAGTCTCAAATCACTTTGATGTCTCCACATAATGTGTCCGCATTGCGTTGCACATTATTTGATACAGGAGAGCGGATGTACGTTGCTTGCTCACAACTGTGAACGAGGAAGGCAGAAGGCTGATGCCTGATCAAGGGTCAAACCAGGTACAAGCAGTACAAAATGCCACACCCACTTCATGCCACTGTGACTGAAGTGATAGGCTGGGCCCTCATGGTGTGTGCAGGTGGCTGCAGCTCAGAGGGACAGGCTGTGTCTTGCACTTTACTGTGAGGTGGCAGAGGGAAAGTGTGAGTTGGGGGGAGGTTGGTGGGCACCCCCTGCAGAGGGGCCTTTGTTACCCTCTTCCTCTGGGGATTACCTCACTCTGCAGACTCAGAGGAGCAACAAAGGGAGAGCCACAGAGCTTGCTGGATATTGCCAGGAGAAGGGTGGGAGTTCTCTTCCGGATGGCCTGGTAGGGAAGCCAGGGTGCAGAAAAAACAAGGACAGTCAATCAGTATGGTCCCAAAAGCCTACGGAAAGGAGAGGACCTGGCTGAAATGCCTAAAGCTCTTTTCAGCCAAACCCAAAGACGGATTCCCAGCCTGAGCCTGAGGCCAGCGGAAGCCTCACCCCTTCCTGCAGGGTGAGGGATGTGGCCCCAGTGAGGGCCCCTGCTGTGGTCCCACCTGCCGGTTAATCTCAATGCCACCTCCCCCCACCCCATATCCCCTTTCCTCCCTGGTGGCCACAGCGGTCCCTGTGTCCGCTGGAGAAGTTGCAGGGCAGAGGCAGTGGTGGGATATGGTAGGTTTAGGAGGGTTTACAGCTCAGGTGGGGCAAGGCCTGAGCTGGAAGCCAGAGTGCAGAATAGTCATCCCCAGTCAGGGCAAAGCTGGAGACGGACAGGCAGGGGCATGACGGATTTGGCGCTCCATCCAGCCCAGACAAGAAGCAAAGCTCCAGGCAAAATGCAAGGCGCTTGCTGGGCGGGGCTCCCGGGAAAGTGAGGGGAAGGAAGCAGGGGGTGCTTTTCCTGAGAGAAGAGACAGAAGCACTTTTAGGTCTTGCTGCCGGGCTGATATCTTAAACAACATTGCAATGTGAACAGACTTTGGCCTAGGAATTTCACACTTAGGACTCTATCCCAATGAAATACTGGAAAAGCTTTACAAAGAGTCATTTATGCAGTGAGAAAACTACCTATATGTCCCCTCATATAAACAAATGATTAAATTATGGTTATGCAGATGTTAAAAATGTTTATGGTATTAAAATCCAAACAGTAAAAAGATACGAGTAAAGAAAAAATATCTCCCAGCCTACAGAGGACCACAAAAAAATAAAGAAAATTTTAAATAAATAAAACAGAGAAAATATGCATAGAAGAAGACAGGAAGGAGTTGTGGCAGCTAGAAGTCCAAAATGAACGTGTTGGCAGGGCCATGCTGCCCCTGAAACCTGCAGGGGAGAGGGGAGAAGCCTGCTTTGCCTTGTAGCTTCTGGCATTCCCTGGCTTGAAGATGGCATGCCTCAACCTCTGTCTCCATTGTCATGTGACCATCTTCTCCCTGTGTGTCCCTCAGTGTCCAAATTTTCCTCCTCCTGTAAGGACACTGGTCATATTGGATTAGTGCCTGCCCTAGTCCAGTGTGACCTCATCTAAACTCAATTACATCTGAAAGACCTTGTTTCCAAATAAGATCACATTCACAGGTATCAGAGATTAAGACTTTAACTTATCTTTTTTGGGGTACACAATTCAATCTATAATTATGGTTGTATGGCCTTAGGCAAAAACCTTTCTGGGCCTGTTTCTTTATCTTTAATGTAAAAAATTTTTATTAATTTTTTTAAAGAAAGGATCTCTCTTATGTTGCCCAGGCTGGTCTTGAACTCTTGGCCTGAAATGATCCTCTTGCCTCAGCCTCCCAAGTAGCTGGGATTATAGGTGTGTGCTACCTCACCTGGCTGTTTTCCTCATCTTTACATTTAGGGGCCGGGCATGGTGGCTCACACCTATAATCCTAACCACTCTGGGAGGCCAGAGGTGGGAGGAACCCTTGAGGTCAGGAGTTCGAGACCAGCCTGAGCAAGAGCGAGACCCCATTTCTACTAAAAAAAAATAGAAAGAAATTAGATGGACAACTAAAATATATATATATATATATATAAAAGATTAGCCGGGCATGTTGGCGCATGACTGTAGTCCCAGCTACTTGGGAGGCTGAGACAGGAGGATCACTTGAGCCCAGGAGTTTGAGGTTGCTGTGAGCTAGGCTAATGCCATGGCACTCTAGCCCGGACAACGGAGCGAGACTGTCTCCAAAAAGAAAAAATTAAAATTAAAAAAATCTTGGGCAGTAGGGTAGGCTTTTTCTAAGGGTCTCTCCAACTGTGATATTTTGTGTCTCTTAAGCCCAGCCCTGAAGTGCTATCCCAGTTTATGGGCGCTCCTCCTTTCCCCTAAAGAGGCCCTAGAAACTCCAAGCCACCCACTGCTGCAGCTGGCCTATGGCCCCAGCCAGCTGCTTATAGTCAAGAAACCTGAAGAGGCTTCTCTATGCATGGGACAAGTGCCCAGGTGGGTGGAGGCCTGGGTTCTCTTTTAGCTTCTATGACTGTTTTGTTATTCTCTGACTCACTTTGCCTGGTGACTTTGGATCAGTCACTGTGCCCTTTGCATGGTGTGGCTTATCTGTAGAGCCGAGACATTGGTGCTTTCTTGCCAGTTTTGTGGGTTATTCTAGTTGCTATGCACACATCACTTTAGTGCAGGCTATTCCTTCTAACTTTTGGTTCCCTAGAAGCAGCTCTCAGTACATGCTGAGCATGGAATAGGATCATTCTTATCAGTTCTCATCATATATATGAGAACTGAAAGGGTCTTTGATATTAATATATGCTAGGTAAGGAAATGAGTGAATTAGGAACATAGACTTTGATTCAGATATATAGCACATCTCTGTTGGTTAGAACATAGCCCTAAATTGGGCTTTGCTCAAAAATATGCCAAGAAGGTACTTTCATGAGTATGTACCAAACTCATTCCTTTGGTCCCTCAGCAGACATTCCTCCATCCATATCTGTTCTAGAAACAGGTTGCCTTCACTGACTGTTCTGTCCATTGGCTCTATGACCCACCTGAGAATCCCCAAAACTACCCCTTCCTTTTAAGCCTGCAATATCTGGCTAGATAAGACTGTTGGAGTCCCTTAGCATTGGTAGACTATTTGTGACTTCACCGTTACCAGTTGCTCAAGTTCTTTGACTACTAATAGTCTTTCTAGGAATATAATCTAAGGGAAAAATCAGGGATGCAGGTAAAAATGTACATGCAAGGATATTCAATACAGAATTGTTTATGATAGTGAAAAAATGAAACAACCTTAGTTACAAATAATAGGAGATTGGCAAGTAAATTATGCATCCATATAGTGGTTATTAAAAACTATCTTTTAGCTGGGAATGGTGACTCACAGCTCAGTACCATCTACTCAAGAGGCTGAAGTGGGAGGATCACTTGAGGCCAGGAGTTTGAGACCAGCCTGGGCAACATAATGAGACCCCATCTCTAAAAAAGAAATATTTTAAAGAAATTTAATGGTGGGAGAAGATGCTCAGCAAGGCTAAATAAAAAACTAGAAAGTAAAACTGTAGTAAAATGGTCTTAAAGAAAAACAGAATGTAAAAAGTAAAAGGACAGAAACTTAAAGGAAATACAAAATGTTAACAATGGCTGTCTCTCAGTAGTCGGATTACAGGTGGGTGATTTTTCTGTTCTTTTTACTTTGCAGTTTCTTTCAAGGTTTATAATCAGAAAAAAAGGCCAAATGGTACTAGAAGGTCAATACCAAAGGTCTTTGCTACACAAGAGACAATAGAGAGATCCAGACAAAAGTACTGCTTTGTTCCTTGCAGACTTGTCTCCTGGCATAGTCTGGTTACCTGAGCCACTGGACACCTCTCCCCCCGACCACCTCACCTCACAGCTTTCCTGTCTGCTTGTAGGGCCACATTGTCCACAACTGGAAGGCGCGATGGTTCATCCTTCGGCAGAACACTCTGGTGTACTACAAGCTTGAGGGGGGTCGGAGAGCGACCCCTCCCAAGGGCCGCATCCTCCTGGATGGCTGCACCATCACCTGCCCCTGTCTGGAGTATGAAAACCGACCGGTAAGTGAAGGCCCCTGCCGCTGGGCTCCTCCTTGCCCCAGGCCTCTGTTGGGAAGGTGGCATTGGGTAATGGGAAGAGCTCAGCGTTATCACTGAAAAACTTGGGTTCAAATCCCAGCTCCACCACGTACCAGGCATGCGATCTTGGGCAAGTAGTTACAAATCTCTGAGCCTTTGTTCCTCATCTATAAAATGGGCTGAAATAATTACAGCTGAGTATCTCCCATGGTTGTGATGAGGATCATGGAGGTCATGGTCTGTTAAAACACTTTGTAGGCTACGAGGCAAGCGCTACCCAGTTGTGTGTAATTGCTGCTATCTTGGGGTTCAGTATGAGGACTTTCATTCCCTGAGAGGTGCATGTTCCAGAAACCAACGGTGGCTTCAACCCACCACCAGAAGAGTCTATCAATCAATCCTTTACTGAGGGCCCATTATGTGCCAAGAAACTTGTTAGGCATGGAGGAGTCAAAGAAGAAAATGGTAAGATTGCTTCTTCATGGAGTTAATCATCTTAATGGGAAAGCAAGTGGTTAATTGGAAAACATTTAGCATTCCAAATGATGGTATAAATATTATGAGCTACAGAGAATGCTGTGTCCCTGAAGAGGAGGAAGGCGTTGCTTTAGGCTGTCTGGGTCAGAGATGGCTTCAGAAACAGATGTGGGCAAAGGAGGAGAGAGGCAGACATCTGGACAGGTGCAGTGTCTTGGGCAAAAGCAAGGAGAAGAGTGTGCAGGGAGAGAGGGATGTCTTTTGGGGAAAAGAGCAGCCAGTGTGACCGAAGGGGAAAGTTCACAGAAGGAGTGAGAGGAGATGGGTTTGGGCCAGGTGGAGATAGTAACGGACTGTTGAAGGTTTCAAGTGAGAGAATGGACTGATGCAAACTCTCTTAGACAGACTAAAATGAGGAACTAATGTCAGTTACTAATAAGTTTTCTTGGTCCATAAAAAAGCGATCTTACTATTTTCTTCTTTCTTATCATGTTTTTTTCCTCTGACTCTTTCATGCCTGCAGTGTGCAGGAGAAAGAGACTGGAGACAATGAAATCAATTAAGGAACCATCTAAGTATAAGAAAATATTAATTATGGTCAGTTTTGGGGGTGGGTTTATTAGCATTTATTATGTTAAACTCTGTACTCTTTGGTAGTTTAAAATTTTTCTCAAATAAGGAAACAAAAGGAGCTATTAAAATAATCTAGGGGAGGGGTACATTGGCTCACACCCATAATCCCAGCACTTTGGGAGGCCAAGGCAGGAGGATCACTTGAGGCCAGGAATTCGAGACCAGCCTGGGCAACATAGCAAGAACCCATCTCTACAAAAAAAAATTTTTTTTTAAATTACCCTGTGTGGTGGTGCACACCTGTAGTCCCAGCAGCTCAGGAGGCTGAGGCAGGAGGATCGCTTGAGCCCAAGAGTTTGAGGTTGCTGTGAGCTATGATTGCACCACTGCATTCCAGCCTGGGTAACAGGGTGAGACCCTGTCTCAAAAAAAAAAAAAAAATCTAGGCATAAAATAAGGCAAAGAGAAGGGATGAACACAAGACAGCATTATGAAAGAAACAGAAGTCAGGCAGGGGTGGCTTTCTGGTGGGGTAGCAGTAAGAGCACTGGAGGATGCTGAGCCTGGGGAAAGACTGACTCTGAATCCTCTTGCTTTTAGCATCTTAAGAGCATACACAGTATCTGGGCACATAGTATAACAGATGCTTAGTAAATGTTTATTGACTAAATGTTGAACAAAAAAGAAAGATTTGTAGATAAGTGAGATAATTTTAAGAGGCAAGCCTAGTTTTCTAAGTGAATTTAAGACTATAGGTGTTAGTAAATTAAGCCCCTGAACTTGTAGGTTGACCTACTGCCCCTTAATAATCTTTATGGGACAGCGGAGAACAGACATCCTGGTGGAAGGAGCTAGAGATAGGACAACTTTGTTCTAAGTTTCAGAAAAGGGAAATAGTTTAGACCTGCTAACTGGAGGTGTGAGCTTCATGTTAATTCTACATAAAATTCTCAATGTCATTTGCCTAGCTCATGAGAACTTGGGCTAGATGAAATCAAGAGGAACTAACAGGTTCACTAAGAACAAACCATCAAGTGTGTGTGTGTGTGTGTGTGTGTGTGTATTTTTTTTAATTAAGGAAGTTATAAAAAGTCTGAATTTCAGTTGGAAATTTATAGTCCTGAAATTCTTTTTATTAACATGGTGAACTGCAGACTGATGGTACAGGTTGAGGAAGCTGGTTGAGCTCTTTGTTCTTCCACAACAGCAGTGAGTGAGTGAATCAGCATTAACTTAGAAGAACACCTTCATGGTACTCTGTGGGACCATGGGCCAGCCATGTCTTATTTACCATTTTTGTTACTAGTTTATATGCGAAACATAGATTAAGTTTGCAAGCAAAACAAGTTGGGAGCTAATAGTTTGGAAAAAAGAATCAGAACAAAGTAGAATGTTTCTTGTTTTCCAACAGAAGTGCTAGACCGAGTCTACTCAGATGACATTTAATAGGGTCAGGGTGCAAAATACCACAACTGGTCCCCCCCAAAACCATAAATGTACATTTAAAAGATAGAGACATGGCCTACATGAAAAAGAGTCTCTACTGATGGATGGAGTGTGAGTCTACACTGCCCGTAGCTGCCCACTGCTAATTCGAGCACTGGCTGTGTCAGACCATGCTACACTGTGCTCCTCAGACTTTTCCTGGAGCAGTGTGTTCCATTCCATGGATTGTATTTTGTTTTGTTTTTTAAGGGACGGGATCTCACTCTGTCACCCAAGCTGGAGTATAGTGATGCGATCATAGCTTACTGTATCCTTGAACTCCTGGGCTTAAGTGATCCTCCCACCTCAGCCTCCTGAGTCGCTGGGACTACAGGCATGTGCCACCATGTCTGGCTAACTCTTTTATTTTTTGTAGAGTCAGGGTCTCGCTGTGTTGCCCAGGCTGGTCTCAAATTCCTGGCCCTAAGCTATCCTCCCACCTCGGCCTTACAAAATGCTGAGATCCCAGGCGTGAGCCACTGCCACGGGTTGTGTTTTATGAGAACGTTGCCCAAGTGCAGAACATTTAGCAGAGAGTGAACTGGTTGAGAAGGCACTTAAACTATATCATATGAGGAGTATGGGGAAGACTTGCAGATGCTTAGATGCAAGAAAAGAAAATCAAAGGGAGAATAGCTAATAGTTTCTTCAAGGTAGGCATTCATATCCTGTTATCACAGATGGGAAAACTGGCATCCATAGCTAAGCGGCAGAGCTGGGGTTTGTGTTCAGAGCAGTCTGACTTTAAAGCCTGGGCATTTCCCACTTCGGCACAGGGGCTGTCACAGGAGGTGAGACTCCATCTATGTGGTTCTAAGTCATAGCAGGTGAGACTTTTTCTGTGTGGCTCTAGGAGACAGAATCAGAACCAGAGTGTCCAGGAACCAGTCCCTACACTACCTACTCTGTCCAAAGGAGAAAGGCTGCCTCGTGAGGCCGTGAGCTCCCTGTCACTGTAGGTGTCCAAGCGAATCTTTAAAGGCCACCTGCTGGGGTGTGGTTGAGGGGTCAGGGCATTAGGTGGTCTCTGGATTGCACAGTCTCCTAGATTCGCAAGACCCTGTTGTTTTGCTGTCCAACTCTCTTGCCTGCTCTGCTCTGACTGGCTGTCTCATCCCACAGCTCATCATTAAGCTGAAGACGCGAACATCCACGGAGTACTTCCTGGAGGCCTGCTCTCGAGAGGACAGGGACGCCTGGGCCTTTGAGATAACAGGAGCTATTCACGCAGGGCAGCCGGGGAAGGTCCAGCAACTCCATGTATTGAGAAACTCCTTCAAGCTGCCTCCTCACATCAGCCTGCAGTGAGTGCCCCCTGCCTCTGCCCCTACCTGGCTTTGCTGCAGCCTGTCCTGCCTGTGTACGGTGGGAAGGGGGACCGGACCCTTCTGGGGGGCTCTGTGCTAGCTGCACAGCCTGACTGGTGCCACCACTGTGCTTCAGGGAATTCAGCCTGGGAATGGCTCTATCTAACTGTCCTGTTCCTCTGTGATCTTTTGGGGCCCTTGCTGCTTCTGTTGGCCTCCATGACATGAGACCTCCCTTCTGTTTCACCCCAGGTGCTGTCTTGTCTTAGTCTGCTTTCTTTTTTTTTTTTTTTATTTCAGCATATTATGGGGGTACAGATTTTAAGGTTTCAATAAATGCCCATTTCCCCCCTCCCCCCAAAAGTCTGAATCTGTGCCTTTCACATTATATAATGACCCTCTTTGTCTTTATTACTACTTTGTTGGTTAAAAACTAAATCATCTGAAATTAACTGCCACACCAGCCTTCTTCTTGGCTTCTATTTGCTTGAATATTGATCTCACCCTTTATTTTTAGTCTATATGCATCCTTTGCAGTAGATGTGTTTCCTGAAAACAGCATATACTTGGCTGTATTTTCTTATCCATTCAGCCAGCCTATGTCTCTTGAGTGGAGAGTTTAAGCCATTCACATTTATTGAGAGAACTGATAGGTAAGGTAGATTACTGTTCATTCTCTGTTGGTTGGATGTTGTTGCTATGATTTCTTCTTGAGCCATTGTAATATCTGGCCTTTAATATCTTTGGTTTTGGTTTTTTTATATTTGTGGGTTATATTATGATGTTTCCGTGCATAACGCTGTTTTAAGTACTTCTTGTAGGGCTGGTCTTCTTTGTGTATTCTCTGAGCTCTTGCTTGTCTGAGAATGTTTTTATTTCCTTCATATATGAAGCTTAGTTTGCAGGAATAATATTCTAGGCTGGGCATTGTTTTGTTTCAAAAGAGTGAGAATGGGGCCCCAGTCTCTCCTTGCTTAAAGTCTCATTAGAGAAGTCTGATGTTATTCGAATGGCTTTCCTTGTATGTTACTTGCTTCTTTTGTCTTACAGCTCTTAGAAGGGCTCTTTAGTTGATACTTTGGTCAGTCTGATGACTGCATGTGTGACGTCTTCCTGTTTGCTTGAATCTCCAGGGGTCCTCTGAGCTTCTTGAACTTTTATATCAAGATTTTGAGCAAGGCCTGGGAAATTTTCCTCTATTATATCTTAAACAGCTTGTCCAACCCTTGAGTGTTGTCTTCTTCCCCTTCTTGTAAGCCTATGACCCTCACATTAGGTTTCTTCACATAATCCCACAGCTCTTGTAGGCTTTGCTCTTTTCTCTTGTTTCTCTGCTCTATTTCTGTGACTGATTTATTTAATTGGAGGGTGTTATCTTCAAGCTCTGAGATTCTTTCTGTTTGATCAACCCTGTTCTTGAGACTTTCCACTGTATTTTGTAGTTCCTTGAATGATTCTTCATTTCAGGAGTTCGGTTACACTTTTCTTCATTGGTCTATTTCTTTCCCATATCCTGGAGGCTTTTTGTGTTCTTTGTGTTGGTTATTGAGTTGTTGTTGCAGCTGGGTGAGTGTTCTTATGATCCACATACGAAATTCTCTTCTGTCATATTGGTTGCCTGATTTGGTTGGTGTCCGTTTCTAGGGGCTGGTGCTCCTTTTGGGGGTGTGTTCCGTTGGTTCTTTAATTTCCTGAGTTCTTTCGTTGATTTCTTCCCATGTCAATCAGTTGTTGTTTCTTTCCTTAAGTTATTGTTTGGGTATTCAACAACCTTGTTTAGTTTCTGAGGTTTAGGTGGTGCCTGTGGTGAAATTGGACCACTCCCTGTATATTGAGTCAGTGGGTGCCGTGGAAAGGCTGTGCAAGATGCCATCCCTGTCAGTAGGTGGCGTTTGCTTAGAGGAACAGGCTGTGCTGTTGATTTTGTGTCCTGTTATCAGCTCTTGTTCTGGGCGGAGCTGGGTGGGTAAGCCCCTCAGGCAGTTAGCAGGTCAAAGTTCGTTCTCTGCTTCCAGGAAAGCTGTAAGGGCGGGGCTGGAATGGTCCCGCTCAGCCAGAAGTCTGGTGTGGGGGTGGGGCTGTTGAGACCTGCAGTCTGGAGCGGCCTCGCTTCTTTCCGCCCTCCCAAACTCCGCAGCTACTCCTGGGCCTCTGTCAGCAGGCCAGACCACAAGCCACCAGGCCTCCCCGGACTGTGATGCCGGCGGGAGGTTCCCTGCACAGGAACGCACCTGGGTTGGGCGCACGTCTCCTCCTGGGAGGAGGGTTGCCCTCCTAGACGCCGATCTGCCCTGGAGCACACACACCTCAGTAGGCTGTTCACATATAACCCTTCTGTGCTCCGGGCAATGCTAGCCCTCGGTGCAGGGGATCTGGTCTGCAGGTCCGACCTCTGGTCCCAGAGTTCAAATGTACCCCACCAGGGAGAGGAGTTCTGGTCCCAATTCACCCACAGGGAGCCCAAGCTGGGTCTATGTCTCTCAGCCTCTGAGTCGGCACCATTCTCCTGGGAACACCGTGCCAGCAGCACCTGGGAGGGTGGGCGGTAGGGAGCTCACAGTCTGAGTTCCCCTGAGTCAGCTGTAGGGTCCCAAAAGGGAAGGTCCATTCTCTGGAGGTGCCTCTGCTGGTGGCTGTATTGTCTCTCTAGGCAGCCGCGGGTAGGGTCGGAGAGGGGAGGAGGAGGCAATATGGCGCCTGCGCGCGGCTCGCGTCTGTGCACACGGAGGTGCCGGAGGAAGTTGGGAACCTGGTGCCACGTCTGCTACAGGCTCACCGCTGGCTGGCGCGGCGGTCTCTGGGCTGGTGTCCTCAGGTCTCCCCCACGCTGGGAGCCCACCAGCAGTCCCAAATGCAGGGGAGGAGAAACAGCAAATCCACCTACCCTTGCTGCTGGTCTCCGGACTGCTCCGGGTGGTCTCAGCCTCCAGTTCTCCTCCGCAGCCTCCTCCCGTGGAGTCTCCCGGGGTCTCAGGTATCCCTCCTTCCGGCCCTCATCCACTGTATGCTCGTCTTCTTGCTTCTTTCCTCTAATTTCTGCTAGAATCTGTCTTTTCTGCAGAGACACTCTGTCTGGC